AAAAGTGAGGGGACATTAAATCTCATTCGTCTGTCAATCTGTAGTTCTGTCTGTCCGTAGCAATAACTTTATCTTTGGTCAAATCTGTTGAATGAGAAAAGATAGGTTTTTTCATATTACACATGTATATTACCTGTGACAACAACTTTCTAAATACACTATGATTTTTGATTCCGTGACCTTGACCTTGAAGTTTGACCTTCTTTTCAAAAACTTTAACTTTGGTCATGGCTTTTGAATGAAAAGAGATAGGGCTTTCCTATTATACCTGTGTATTGCCTGTGACAATACTTGTCTAAACACACACTGATTTTTGACCCCATGACTTTGACTTTGAAGTTTGACCTATTCATATTAATTATGTGTGTTATCTGTGAAAAACCTTTCTAAATACATTATGCTTTTGACCTCGTGATCTTGATCTTAAAGTTTTTCCAACTTTTCAAAAACTTCAACTTTAGTCATGACTTTTGAATGACAAAACATATTAGACCCGTGTATTGCTTGGGACAAGACCTTTCTAAATACACTGTGTTTATCTTGTAACCTTGACCTTGAAGTTTAACCTCCTTTTCAAAAATGTTAATTTTTCCTTAAAACTTTTGATTGATAAGAGATAGCTTTCATATTTGACATGTGCATTACCAGTGACAAGATATTTCCAAGCATGCTAAGATTTCTGACTCCTTGACATTCACAACTGACCTAATTAAAAGAAAAACTTCGGTGACTAAACTTCTGAATGACACATGATAGAGTGTTCATATTTGACACAATATGCCATTAATCAAAGTACTGAAAGTACTGATAGACGGAGGCTTGGAATGAACATGATTGTTTGTCTCTTTGGGAATTTTTTATTCATATTCTGACCCCAACATTTGCCTAAGGGTAGTTGGCCATATCTTTTGAAAAGTAGATACCAGGACATTAATACTTCATATATCTTTTTTTTTATGTTTCCTCATGCTGCACAATCTCACCGCAGCTCTGTTTTTGCTGTGATAAATTCAAATAAAATCAACACCGTTGTTGAGATGAAAAATGTCATTTATTAAAATGACGAAATAAGAAAAAATATATACAATACATGATAGGGGATCAGAACAAAAGGTAATCGCACAAATACATATTAATATACTGATCCCCTAAATTTACAGATAAACAATATTTGCAAAAAATATAAAAACATTAGGTATACAGCAAAAAGATGGCACTACAAAAATAAATATGCCAAACATTAGGTATACAGCAAAAAGATGGCACTACAAAAATAATTATGCCAATGTGTCAAATGTAATTTGTATATCAATTTAAAACATATAAATGCAAGGTAGGAAAAGCTGGGGTGGTGGTGGGTGTGCCAAATTTTTTGCTGTTATTGATAGCGTCAACAAAGCGAGAATGACCCAGCGCTGACTGGTCAGTTACAGACAGCATCAAAACACGTGATTATAATGGACAACTCTGATTGGCTGCTTGTCTGCGAAGGGGTCTGGTTTGACCATGGAAAATTTTGGAGTTGCGTAACAAGCAGCCGAAAAAGAAAAACTGGGGAAAATTACATAACATGGAACCCGACACTTGAAAGGCCTGGGAGAATTCCAGCAAATGGAGAAAATCAAAACATTGAGTTTGAACAACAAAATAGAACATCTAATTACTTACATTTAGACAAAAGAAATTAAAAAAAAACAGCATTCAACACATAAATGAAATTATTTACATAATTGTTGTTTTATGTTTCCTCATGCTGCACAATCTCACCGCAGCTCTGTTTTTGCTGTGATAAATTCAAATAAAATCAACACCGTTGTTGAGATGAAAAATGTCATTTATTAAAATGACGAAATAAGAAAAAATATATACAATACATGATAGGGGATCAGAACAAAAGGTAATCGCACAAATACATATTAATATACTGATCCCCTAAATTTACAGATAAACAATATTTGCAAACTTCATATATCTTTTTTTTTGTGGAAAGACTTTTCATTGGATATTAACAAACTTGACCTTTTGACCTTGACCTTCGACATTCTATACTTCTGAAAAAACTTTAACCTTGGCCATGACTTTTGAATGGTAAGGGATATATAGGGGGGGGGGGGCAACAGTGTTTCACAAACACATCTTCTTCATTTATGTTACCGTGGTCTAATGTTTAATTATGTAATTTACTGAATTCCTATTTTTCATCAAAAGGACAAACCAATCTAATTGCAATAAACTATATCAATTTCAGTTCTTTAGTGACTCGTGGTAAGAGCTTCCTGAAATGTGAGAAAGCCAAAAAGTACTTTAGTATCTCTAACTCTTCAGGACTAAAAGGAGCTGAGATACAAGCATTCAGATATAACAATGCATAGATCTACATGCACATTCAACTTTTAATTAATAGTTTTGTTGTGTTGGGTATGAACATAAAGAAGATCCAAATATTTCCAACATTATGAAAAATATCAAGCAGAACAAACGCCTGTTTGGGTGCAGATCTTGAAATGTACTAAGCTCTACAGGTATTTGTTGTCCAGTGCGCATTAATCCTGACTTCCAAATTCTTACTTGACTGGTGATACCTTTAGAAACATTTGCATCTAGGTGAAAGTTGACTCCGCAAAATATGCCATCCCATTGTTCAAGTTTTATAAAGTGATTACACCGCCTTGACTAGATATTGTGGATTCAACGATACCCTAATATCCAGTATTATACGCGATTTTACGGATAATACCCATTTTCGTTGAAAATCCTTCCCGTTTCAGAGGCGGATCCAGCCACTCTTGAAAGAGGGGTTCCAGTGTTGTACTGTCCATATAACCCCCCCCCCCCCCATACACACTCTCAAGCAAAGATTCACACACACGTATGGAAGATCTTAGGTTTCGGTAAATAATATCTGTTTACGTCCATTTATTTCTTTGGTCCCCCAGTCCGAATTTAAAGAAAAAATAAAAAAAACTGCTGAAGCCTTAATTAAAATTGAATGGATTTGCAGCATTTCCAAAGAGTATAAAGAATTTTCTTTTGGAGTTTGGGTGCGGGTTGGGTTTAAAACAAAGAGTTGCATGTTACGGTAGTTCCTTCAAATGATATGATTAAAACGGTTCATATAATATAGAACCGTTTTAATCATATCATTTGAAAGAAAAGTGAGTGGAAGAAAATTAATGTGTGAGAATCTATCTATTCAATACATAAGTTAGACGTACAAATATATGTATTTTTATTTATTCTCGGAAAACGTTTCATTCTCTCTCTCTCCACTAGACAGAAAATAAAGTGGGCTTCCAATTGACCCCCCCCCCCTCCCTTGGATCCGCCAATGAACCGTTTACAAGCATTCACCCATCCTTGACACTTTTTCAATATCTATCCAAGGTTTGGGAAATCTAATAAATTCAACTCCTTGCATATATTTTTTGTGGTCATACTTTGAGTCACTATTGCAGATTCCATGACAACATTGTTTTATTGCATCCTTTTTTGCACAGGTTAGCCATAATATTACTAAATTTACACCACAAAGTAAGATTCAAGCCACTGTTTTGGTTTTGGTCATGTAAACATAGAAACATGTGGGTCAGTTTGTCCCATCTAACTTCTGAAACATGTGATAAGGAATTCTAAAAATAGATGCAGCAGAGCTATAAACAGACAAGCCGCAGCTCTCTGCTGAGTCAGTGAGTGAACATTTAAAATACATGTATGTCAGTTTCAATGAAACAATGATGCAGATTTCTTCTATCTAGGTAATGTAGGGTATTAATGTGATAGGACCTTCGCAAACTAATTAAAATCCCCCAGGTGAGGTGAAAGGTGTGAGATAATTATAGGTCCATGAGAAAAAAAAGAATTATGTATTGTATGTGGAAAATATTGTGACCGAATTAGATTAATTGCATCAAAAGCAGATGCAGAGAACTGCACTTGGTGATCTGTTTTGGTTTCCCCGACAATTTAAATTCTATGTCAGTGAGAGTTTTTATCAGCCAATGAGCGTGTCAGCAGCGGACTCTAAACATTACTGATCACCTGTCTGTATACAGCACATATCCGATATCAGACAGGCAGGCCAGTTTATCAAAGTTTAGCCTGGTTCCCTGTCCCTGTTTTGCTTCATGTACTCCTGCCTTGGAAAGGATGAGCCGGGGGACCAAGCTAATCAAAGTTAACGTGATTAGCCGCTAGATGGCGATCGCAAATTCCCTTCCGCCGCAGCTGAGCGGTACCAATAGAGCGGAGGCTAAGCCTCCGTCTAAAAAATGACATCTCAACCACAAAGACACCGAGACCATCAATTCTGACATTAACTTTAGACAAACGTTTGGCTTTTGTTTTTTGGATACATGATCTTACTGTAAGAACAACTTTAATTTGTACAAAATTTGATTCAACTTTCTTTTGCAGTCATGCACCCCAAATACATTTCTTGAATCATCCACCTGGCAAGTCCTGTCCAAATACGTCTTGTGGTTAATAGAGCTGTTCCCAGAGTACCTTAATACGGGCTGCTAACAGAAACTCTGGACGTAAGCACAGACTCTCCATGGCTGGGTCATTTGTTTCAAAATTATCAGCCAGTACATCAAAAATTATAGTCAAGAACATCTTGATCTTATTATTTGACATTTAAAGCTCTTTAAGTCAGAATTAAGGTTAAAAAGTACTGTGAATATGGTGATCAATACTGTAAACCAATTTTTATTCGCGTGTTAGAAATATCTACCATTTTCGCAACTTACAATGTATGTTGCCTCACAAATAATACCGGGTAATCGCTGTGAATGATTTATTTTGCTTTGTATTTGTAGAGAATGTTTACTTAGTTGTGAAAATTAATTGTCGCAGATTGATTGAATAAAAGATGAAGCAAATAATAGTTGGGTTACGGTACAAGGTACATTGTATCTTTTTGGTTGTGGAACTATGACTGACACTACAATTCAAAAGTCAATGTCAATTCTCTGAAAAATAAGATAAAAATCCACACAGAATGAGACTGGTATTGATTTATTGAGGCTGCAACATTTCTTCCATGTATTATATAGAACCATCAGCCTAAAAACACTCTCCAATAATTGTGGTACATCTTGAGACCGTATATCATTACATCACAAACTTTTATAATAATCAAGGGGTACAAAAGGCCAGCAGGAACATTGTCATGTGGTCAAAATATCACCATGCTGAAAATAATTTGAAGAAAAAAAAATCCCAGTGGAAAGCTCACAGAAGCACCAACATTACAACAATCACAATGACAGAGCTTTACTAGGCTTTTATCTGTCTGTCAGGCTAACTTCAAAATTATTATTGTTTGTAAAATAAATTAATTTTCATTTTCAAAAATATTGTGAATATTTATTATGCTCTTCCTCATCATTAATAGAATAGATTAACATTTAAGTGCAATTCTCTATGATAACTTCAACTTTTCTGGCATGATTGTCACAGATTTTGATGAAACTTTGCTCATTATTATAACTGGAAACATGAACCAACCAAAGTTTGGTTGCTACATGTATTTGTCTCTGCTATCACAGTAACAGATAAAAAAAAAGCCAATGTGTCATGGTAACCATGACAACATATACCAGGTAGTCAGGTACCCTAAATTCAGCATTTTAAATTAAAACTATTTCAAGACTGACGAAATTTTCGACTGTGTAAGCCAAGGCCCTTTATAAAATACTCGGTCATTTTAGAGAATGGCTCTTAAATTGTTAATATTGTACATTAATTGTGAACAACCAACCCTGCAAAGCACTTTGAAATAACCATCTGAAATTATGCAAACAAACTATTTTCTTTAAAAAAAAAATCTATATTGCACCATTTTGTCAACTGTTTAGTATTCATATGAAAGAAAAAAAAAACTTTAATAGAATGAAGCTACCTGAAATTTAGCTCTTTGACAGTACCTTGTAGAACACTTTTCCTTAATTTACCCCATTTGACTTCAGTATTATTTATGTACAAACGCATTAAAAAAATCTATCACATTCAACACACAACAGATCCCTATATTTCCTTGACTTTTAAAAATCATCCTTCTTCATTAAGAACATCTTTGTAGAAGTTCTGTTATCATACTAAACAAAAACAGGACTTTTATCCACATTTCATACTGCTTCATAAGACCACAGTAAAACAAATGTAAGCATCACATATATATAAAACCTGCTAGTCTCCAGGAATGTATGTCATTTCACTGGCCTTAGGGATTAGTAACTATCAGGGTTAATCGGCAAGGCATATGATAAAAATTAATTCTGGTTCATTAAAATAATTCCAAGAGTTAATTGATATAATGCTTATTTTACAGGTATTTACAGTTAGATAAGATGATACACACAATTTAAATGTTTTATAAATAGATTCCATGACAGCATATTTTGCTAGGAATTCTTGTCTTACATTTGGAAAAGCACTTGCACACAGCACATAGAGTTTACCATGCAAATCCATATTGGAAGAATTGTTTAAGGCCACATCAATTTAATTTCTTGTTTGTCGGACATTTGATGAAAAAAGTACGAGCAGGCAAGCGGTTAAATATTAATATTAATACTTTTTTATAGGCAATTTTTTTAGGTGGAGCAAGAATAAAATTGAGCGGACAATTATATTTTTCTGAAGTGCATGTGTGTTCTGATTTGAGGAATACACAGATTTAAAATACGGAAAATAAAGAGGAAATGAAACAGAAAATAGCACAGAATTTCCATGGTGCGGGAAATTTAAATTAATATTATTTGTATAGTTTTGTCTAAATACGAGCGCACGGGTCCGACAAACAAAATATTTTATTGGTGTAGCCTAAAACCTTTTTTTCTATCTACAAGTGAGAACATTTTTTTAAAAAATGCATTACTGCATAATTTTCAAGTGTTTGGGTAATGCCCATTTAAATTGTTCATAATGTGAGTACATTTCAATGTGAGTACTAAAAAAGGTTTTGTATAATAAATTTGGCACCTAAAGTTTTATTTAACAAAACTGACTTGTTTTGCAAAGAGATTACAAATACATGTAACACAATTTTTCTGCCAATATCAAAACATATCTCACAGAACCATAGCATTGATCAAAGCATATGGAACAAAATTTGTATATCTCTCTATTTTTACTCACATATTAGATTCACATCTCTAAGTATCTTACATCAGAGAGAGGAAGAAAAAAATCATATAAATACATGTAACTAGAAAACTGTTATAAGACATGGATTTCAACCTTGAAATTACTATAATTTAACTACTAATACTGTAAAAAGACAATAGTTTTATAAACATGCATGGAATCTTCAGCCTATAGGTAGACTTTCACACACCCAAAACAGTTGCAACTGATGTAAATTTTACATGGACTCAAATTTTTTGAGTATGTTAAACAGTCCAGCAAATAAATCAAATTAAAAATAAGATATGCTGAATGGTTTTACTGATAATTTATTGATGGTTTTTGAGATTTGTTTTTTCAAGTACCGTTAATCTGATTTTTTAGTATTTGTAAGACTTACACACTGTTACAGATAGCATGAAATTTATAAAATCTGAAATAAAATGTGTTGAATACACATATGCTTGGAGAAGGAAAAGATCACAGATTACTCCAACTTCCAAGTGAAAAACTACAGTACACTATGATATGAGAAATGCAGGTTGGAGCATGTATATCGAGTTACATCAATTAGAATTTATGAAATCCACTACTTTTTGGGGATTGCTGTTTAAACAAGGGCTGTGCTGAGGAAATTATGAAAATACATGTACATGTAATATAATCCACCCTGATGGTCAAGTGAGCAAACGGGAACTTGGATGAGTCTGGGTCATGCTGAATTTGATTTTCTTTATGGCCTCAAATGGAATATACAAGTAAGAGACGCAGCATATATCCCGCATAGAAATGAAGCTTCTGATTCAGCCAGTATCATCAACATAGAAGAGTCTTTGAAATCAGAAATTGTTTTCATGGCCAGCCAGAACATAAAGGTTTGATTCTGCACTGGGACTGTCCGTTGGCCTACTTTCAAGGAGAATAACCCTGAAAGAAAAAATAAAACATTGATTAACAAAAAGTGCAATCAAGAGAGTTTGCTTGCATGTGAATTTACCGGCACTAAGTCCAGAATGGGGAGTTGGTTTAATTCAAGTACCTAGTAACAATGTTAAAATTTACATAACTACAATTTGAGAGAATTATATATGTCATAAAATCTCATTTTAGTCTTTTGCTTCAGTAAGCATGGTGTAGATCACTTAAACCACTTTCGCGAGATAAACTTGATAAGAGACAAAATTTTCACGAATTGTGGTTATTGCTCTATATAATCTTAAGGAACCTTTTGGCACACTCTCGGTTACCGAATAAAAAAGTGATTTACAGTATTCACCTGTAGAGGCACAAGTTAAAGAGCAATCTATACCAATTTTATTAGCACATCCTAGTGAGATTTTGTTATAATATATATTTTATTCTGGTCAGATTTTGCTATATTTTTAGCTGTAGATACCCCAATACAATGGTTGACATTGAATATCATATAGCAAAGCTGATCCCCAGCTATATGAATTTAATGTTTATAGTTATAATGAAATACGGATATAGCAAAGTAATTTCATGTTGACTTCGTTATAACCGATTTTTTTGAAGGCCCCAATTTAAATTATTATGGAAATTTTAGTGAGACACAAATTTAGCGATTTGCACTTAAAAATAAACAAATGTAATTTTAGGATTTTAAAAAAATAATCTATTACAAATAAAGCCAAAATTTTTCATTTATATACTGCCAAAATTTAAAACGTATAGGGTAGTTGATTAACAAAGGGAAACCATTTGACATTATTTTACCCCCCCCCCCAATCCATTTGCCCCACCCCCTCTCAGATGAAAATGAAAACTCTTAAACATTATTGCACACCCAAAGGGAGTGTATCTATTGTATTACATGACTGTATAAAAGATGAATTGCAATAAAGAAAGAGGAGTTTAAGGAAAAACAAAGTGTGACAGACAGAGAGATGGACCAGAGTAACATTATTCCTTAACATTGTAAAGAGAACACAGGTAAAAAGCACTTGGAACATTAAAGAGACACAAAGTATGAATCCTAAATGCCCTTGTATTACAGGCCTGACAGTAACTTAAGTAAATGCACCCTTACCTAAGACATGTAATTTGTTTGACCTTGGGTGATAATTTCCCTTGTAGTTCATTGTACTTTTGTCATTTTGAATATACAACTTTGTCAAAAAACTATTTTCCAGCATGTTGTGTGGGAATTTAGCAGACACAGATAAAGCAGATAAGTTTAACTAAAAAAGTGACTGTGTAGGAAAAAAAAAATTCTCATGATACACAAACCTTTGAAAGAAAAATATCGCTGCATAATTGATGCTCAATATTGTAAATAGCTGGTGTTTGTTATATTAGTTCATAGAAAAGAAAAAAAATATACAAATTATTCATTGGTAATTCAATAAATTAGGTGTCATAAATTGTCATAGCAATATATTTGTCAAATCAAACTACATCATCAATAATTGATGCTGCCACCTATAGTACTTTTAAAGCGACCAAAGTATAATTCTAATTTTATTTGTCATCTTGTGTTATCTTGAGACAAATTTCATGATCATATTACCTAATAACTATCAATTATTTGAAATACCCAATCCATCACTGAGATACATGAAAATAAAACAGAAATTGAGGCATATAAATTACATCCAGTTACTTTTTCCTCATCAGGTAAATGACCTAGGAAGTATGCAGATAATGAAAATTTGATGAGACCAGCTGAGAAAACAAACACTCCGAAAACCCTGATAAACAGCTGTTCCTACGATTGTCATAGCAACAATGTCAACACTCTTGATCTGAATAGGACAGCTTGGCCAACATCAAACTGGGAACAAGAGACTTCTCCCCAGGGATATTTCTTGATAAGCAAATACCAGGAGGTTCTTCTTTCAGGTCCATGACGCTGTAATTAGGAGTTAGGGCCCTCCCAGGAGAGGGGAAACTGTGCTCCGATTACCCAATCTAATGCCACCACAATGTCTGGCACGCAGATCTAATACCCACCCAATCAGAAATATAACTCCATTATAAAAAATAACTCTCCGTCAGCTGTTGTGGTTTCCATAGGTTACATCAAAACGATGACAAAGCTGAATTATAAGGCCATATTCTTTTTTTAAATAAAATAGTAATCAGGGGGGTAATGATGCAAATAAAAAAAAATCTGATTTGTTTTTGATAATGATTAGTGAGTATTGATCAATTGACACTAGAGGAGTCCTACTTCAGGATGCTTGGGCTAAGATCAGTTAGGGGTGACATGCATTCTTGTTGTTAAAGCACTGTTTCTCCCATACCCAGCAACATAACAATGTAATCAACAGTATTTTATGGCTTACTTGCATCAGACTTGTGTGATAGACTCAGCAATGACTAAGCAAAAATAATCCATTTATCACCTGAACATTGCAGTTATGTATTTAAAACAAGATCAGTCTATGATCAGGAGAATGGGAAGTGTTTTTTTTTCTGAATTTTTATTAGATAAAAACTAAAAAACATAGCATTTTGTTAAGCTCTGTGTCACGCTTTTACAGCAAATATTCTGGAAAATGTGTGCTTCCTATATTACTTAACAATAAAACTTAAAGAGTTCTATTCTCTTATACAAACACTTAGTGGTTTATCAGACTTTACCATTTTGTCATGTATATATACATTTTCATGTATATATACATTTAGGAAAGATATTAGGGAAATATTGCTTCTAGAAACTACAGTTACAAATATGGACTCCACAGAATGTCCTGACCTCTCTACCTTGATCTTCAGACACTGTCATTAATTTATTTTAAACAAGACATTCGTAAAACATTTATGCCCCCCTCCCCAAAATAGTAGAATTTTTCTAAGTCCAAGGGGCATAACTCTGTCCCAAATTGATGGATTGCACCCAAAACAGAACTTGACCTAGATATTCATTAATAAATCTGTATACCAAATTTCATTTCATTATATGCAATGGTTGTGAAGAAAATGAACAGAAACATGGTGGACCGAAAGACAGCAGAAAGTAATACGCAAAGGGGGGCATTAAAATATACAAAATTATAGACTGGGTCAGTAACTTTATAGAATTTTCCAGGCAGACATAGACACAACCACCAAAGAATAACTATAATGTAAGTTCTTTATGTATAATTCACTTGAAGTAAAAATGAGTTCGTCATAGACAGTTTCTTTGTAGGCTTGGAAAACCAGCTCTTACAATCTCTTGGGACTTCCATGGGAAAAAAAGTGCTCCTTTATTAACCAACCTGTTTTTGTACTCATATGAAGCATACTTTTTTGTACTAATTTTGACTATACAGATTACCCTGGTGTGACCCATTAACAAAGGATTCTTATTTCTCTTCCCAATATCTGACCAACCTCTGGTGTGTTCAAACGTCCATATTTTTGCCCTACTCATGATTTTATTGTTTATAGGATTTATGAAACAAATCATTGCTATCACTAATTTCTTTCAAATATAGACTAAAATAATCTGAGTATTATATCCTGATGATTAGACATACAATAGACACACATGTATCAGTAAGTTATATTCATAACCCAAATGTTAAACTTCTCTGATCAAAGTTTGTCAATGGTAGCCCTCTGCAGGTGTCATAACAATTTTTCTCAAAATAAATATGATGCAAAATAATTCCTGATTTCCTCTCCAAATTCAAATATTTCTGCACTTGACAGGAACTGAATTTTTCATAAGGTGTAAAGGTACAAGTAAACTTTCTGACTTAACCAATCTCCAATGAAAAGATTTGTATCAATGATTGAACTTTGTACAAAAACCATACAAGTTTTGATCATTTGTATACAAGGCATACAGAGTTATCACTCTTTAGCATGAAAAAAAAGGAAATTTCAGGACAGTCAACATGACAAAGTATAAACAGCTGACAAGTGATTTACTTGATTTTACTGGGAAAAAAATGATGAGGAAACCATCATATTTTTTTTTTAATGAAATCAAGCACTGTACATAGATAAAACCCACAGTCTTCACATTCTTCTGATTCGAATTCAAATCGAAATTGTACTTCACTACATAGTGAGAGAATTCTGCTTATTGGAACTTTTAATTCCGTACCATACCTGGCTAGTTCAATATGTAGCGGCATTGAGTTGTTTTCGGCCAAAAAAATGTAGCGGTAATGAGTTGTAATTTTTGGCGATGTAGCGGTAATGTTGACCTCCCAGTAGGTGTGATTGATTTGAAATATGACATCAATAGAATATTGACCCCCCTCCCCTAAATCACTCCCTGAAAGTGATATAATCAATTGTAAGGCATCTAGGTATACATTCATATATTAATTTTCAAGACTTTTCTGCCTACTCTCCAGTCACTTCATACAAATAAATGTATTCTGTCAAAATATTTCATATTTTACATGTACTATTATTATCATAAATAAACTTGCCTGTCTGAGCCCAGTAACCGGAAATTTCGGGTTCTATCACATATTTCTTGCGTAACCTTTAAAATGAAAACATTAATTTTATCTTATGTAAAATTGAAATAGTTTTTTTTTTAAATGAAGTTAGAGATTTATTTAAAAAAGAGGCACAAAACTTACTTCATTGGCTTTAAAGCTTCGACCCTGCATTCCATGTTTATGAAATGCTAAAACACTATCCTGTAAACACACTGCAAGGCAAAAAAACCCCAACGTATTATGGATTTAAGTTGAATTTAATTGATGTAAAAATGAAAAATTTAAAGTATGTGAATATTACAGGTTTATGAAAGTTCCAGCTTACCTAAAGATTCCACCTTGAAGTCAAAGTGGAGTTCTGAGGACTGCTTTTTACTTGATTTTAATTTCCCCTTAATATTCACTACCTTCACATACTCTGAAATTAAATCAGGCAATTTTTTTCTTTTTAATTATGAAATGCAATTATTTTCTTTTGGAAAGGTGTAGACATTTGTTTGAAAAATTCAAAATTCCTATCAGTGAAACCTGTTTAAAGCAATTAAATCTCAATAAAATCATCCTCATGCTTCAGAAGAAGTCAAAAGAAGGTCAAAGCTTTATGCACAAACCTTGGCACAAAATATTAAAAAAACAAACTGCAGTAAGGCACCAGTGACCAAGATGGGATAACAAGGGAATGAACTTGGTATATATACTCACTATCATAACAGACTAGAATGGTCTCTTTCTCCAGTTGTGTAACATTCACCACTGGAAGCAGTTCCTCTGAAAAAAAAGAATATGTGTTATTCAGTGCAACGGAATAATTGTGAACAACTTCTGAATGCAGAATAAATTACCAAAATAGAAAACATATTGGCTTACCATTGTCATTTTGCTCAGTAAACCATAATGAGCTGGAATTGAGGTTCATAATGTCAAACTTTAATTGGTTGATTTCTGTTGAGCTGAAAAATACAAGACATACTGGCATGCTATACTTTACGTATTTCTAACTTCATGTTCAAATGGGATGAAATACTTGTCAACGATTTTCTTCATTTTTTTTTTTAAATTTAACAAAAGGCCCATGGGCCTTAGAGGGTCACTTGAGTATCCTTTAAAAGTAGGGCTGGGACAATACAACTTTTTCTATTATTGATACGTATCATGATATTTGAGCCACGATATGATATGTATCACGATATGTTTAATTGCTTATAAATTCTTTTTTAGCATTGAAATAAACAAATTATTTCTTTGCAAATAAGAAAAATTTATTCAAAATAGTTGTTTATATGTTTGTAAAACAAAATATATTTTACTCAAGTAATGTTAATTATTATTTACTTCATATCTATATGTATATTTAGCTTATTTTTTTATATATTAAACCCCAAATGTTGAATAAACAAAGAAAACAGATGTCATATTTTTGGGGCGATATTTTGATATTTCTACATAGGTATCGATATGTGTATCGTCCTCTCAGATATCTCGATATCTCGTCCCAGCCCTATTTAAAAGAAGAGGAATAGGATGAACAGAGATCAACAAAATAGTTCGTCTGGTAATAAACAGCAGTATAATTCTTTTATTTGATTTACCTATCAGTTACATTATTTACAGTGACTAATCATACTAAGTGAATCACAAAGAAGAAAACCATCTTAGAGTTCAGATTTCAACACATGATAGTGATAAAATCCTGCCCTAACTCTCCTAACTCAAGAAACTGTGAACCTGGGGTAACAAAATTCATAAATTTTAAATAGACATCCTTGCTCAAAATAACCATGCACTTAGTTTGCCTGGAAAATATTCAAAAGCAGAGGAGATTTTCAAAGGATTAATGCAATTTCACACTATGACAAATCAAATAAAAACCCCTAACTCTAGAACCCCTGAGCCAGGGGCTATGAATTTCATAATTATGGATGTACTCATACCGATCATAACCATGCTTATAGTTTATCATCTGAATCACTAGCTTCCAAATCAATCTGTCTTTATGAAAAAGATTTTTTTCCAAAATATTTCACAATATAAAACTTTGATTGCCTATTGTGGTCCCATCCTACTCCCAAGGGTCATGATTTGAAAAAGAAAACAGGTGCAGATCCAGAAATTTTTTCTAGGGGGGGTCCACCCCAGTCAAAAAAAAAAAATCCAATCACAGAAATTTCTTGACAAGCAAAAAAAAAAAAAAAAAAAAAAACCTAAACTCGCCCAAACGTCAAAAACCTATCTCGTAGGGGGGGGGGGGGGTAGTGGTGACTTCTAATGCCTTCAAATCTTTCACTTTTCATACCCATTTCACATATTCGCGTTTACCAGAGGGGGGTCAGCGTTTTCCAGGGGGGGTCCATGGTAACTTTTTTCTTGTTTTACTATATACATTTTTTAACCTGGTAAATTCCAGGGGGGGGTCCTGACCCCCCCAACCCCCCCTCTAGATCCGCGCATGGAAAACTTCATTACCTAAAATAATAATTATAATATATTATCCTACTGGTAACTAATTATGGCTCTGCTTTCTTGATGAGTTTTAAAGATCTGTCTGAACACTGTTTATTTGATTTCTCAATCTTACCTTTGTCGGACCCCCATACAGACCATGGGGTACTCTAATTCAGGGGAAATAAACATCTCAAACACAGAGGGCTGAGGTGGCATACTGTCCAAGTCAAATGTCTGCAAATAAATCCACAACCTTCATTCTATAATGTTACATGATTGTTTTGCATACATGTTCGTATCATGCACTTCATTCTATCTTTCAAAATTTGCTTTGGACATATTCTTCAGATAACTATATAAAACTACATATAACTATATAGATAACTATATATAACTATCTTCCTTAGAGCAAATATTAAGAACTATTTTCTTCCAGCTGGTATAGAGCTAGGACAGTGTGAAATCTTGGAGACACACAATGATACATGACTAAGTGATGGCAGTGACTGACCTTGAGAAGCATGAACTTGTTGAGAGGGTCGTACCACTGCATGAGGATAATGCCGTGCTGTAGGGCACCACACAGGTAGCGGTATCCATTGTAAGGGTTCCTCCCTACACAGCAGCGAGTGCAGCCTTTTGTGTCAGGAACTTTTGTAGTGTGGTTAAACTTCCTACAAAACATGGTTACAGACATTTACAACTGTACTAAAATGTGTCAATATCAATGTAAATCACGATGTGCTACTTTCTGCTTTTAAAATACTTATTTCTTTCATTTTTTTTTTCAGTACAGCCCAGATATATTGAAGAGACCTTGGAATTAATTTCTCTGGAATCTTGTTCATGGGGAGAGACAGTCTATTGGCTTGCTTGCCGTGAAGCATTTTCAGGTCGTGTCTAAACAGACAAGTTGTTTTCCCTATAGAAGAAAACAGACAGTTTAACAATCAAACTATATCTTGTTCTACATACTACAAATAGATATTTTATCTGTTTTATTAAAACATGTGTGATTAATTGAACTCAATACCTCTCCCACTTTCAGAAATAACACTTTAAAATGGAAGTAATAAATTAAAATTTTGTTTCTACTGACCTGATAGAGTCATGAGAACATCTTTTATCACATAAACCCACATACACCTCCTTGCATGAAGCTATGAAGAAAAAACAGTACAAAAATGCTTTTCAATATATTTATGTTCATGTATTTTAAAGGGGCTGTAAAACTAACACTAATCAATAAGTGTATATATATCTTTTCCTATAAATCAATTTCAAAACTAACTTAAGTGCACAATTTTGGATTTAACAAGAGGCCCAGGGGCCACAGCTCTCACCTGAGCACACAGGCTAGGAAAAAGCAAATATCAGATCAGAAATGAAAGTTTACCGAGTTTGGAGGGGGGTTAAATCTTAACTCCCCAGGGGGTCATGATTTGAATAAACTAGAATCTACACTACCTGAGGAGATTTCATATAATTATCACTAATTATGGTTTTGAAGTACTTGAGAAGGAGATTTTAAAGATTTCCCTATATATTCTTATGAAAAACTTTGATCGACCATTTTGGCCCCTACTTTCCCCGGGGGTCTGGGTCATGATTTGAACAAACTTGAATCGACACTACCTGAGATGATTCCACATTAGTTTTATATTTCCTGTCCTAATGCTTCTTGAGAAGAAGATTTTTCAAGATTTTTCCTATATATTCCTATGTAAAACTTTGATCGGCCATTTTGGCCCCACCCTAACCCCGGGGGTCATGATATGAACAAACATGAATCTACACGACCTAAAGATGATTCCACTTGAGTTTCATCTTTCCTGGCACAGCGGTCCTTGAGAAGAAGATTTTTGAAGATTTTTCCTATATATTCCTATGTAAAACTTTGATCAGCCATTTTGGCCCCACCTTACCCCCGGGGGTCATGATTTGAACAAACATGAATCTACACTACCTGAGGATGATTTCACATGAGTTTTATCTTTCCTGTCTTAATGGTTCTTGAGAAGAAGATTTTTAAAGATTTTTCCTATATATTCCTATGCAAAAATTTGATTGGCCATTTTGGCCCCACCCTAACCCCGGGGGTCATGATTTGAATAAACATGAATCTACACTACCTGAGGATGATTCCACATGAGTTTCATCTTTCCTGGCCCAGTGGTTCTTGAGAAGAAGATTTTTAAAGATTTTTCCTAGTATATATTCCCATGTAAAACTTTGATCGGCCATTTTGGCCCCACCCTACCCCCGGGGGTCATGATTTGAACAAACTTGAATCTACACGACCTGAGGATGATTCCACATGAGTTTCATCTTTCCTGGCCCAGTGGTTCTTGAGAAGAAGATTTTTCCTATATATTCCTATGTAAAACTTTGATCGCCATTTTGGCCCCACCCTACCCTCGGGGGTCATGATTTAAACAAACTTGAATCTACACTACCTGAGGATGATTCCACATGAGTTTCATCTTTCCTGGCCCAGTGGTTCTTGAGAAGAAGATTTTTTAAAAATGTCATTAATTTTTCTCTAATTCATAATTATCTCCCCTTGGAAAAGGGCGTGGCCCTTCATTTGAACAAACCTGAATCCCCTTCACCCAAGGATACTTTGTAGAAAGTTTGGTTGAAATTGGCCCCGTGGTTCTTGAGAAGAAGATGAAAATGTGAAAGTTTACGACAACGCCGACAACGACAACGACAGACAACGGCCTTTGGCTCAGGTGAGCTAAAAAAAATCTTACTCAGCTGAGATTAACCCTGTCATCCTTTGTTTTTCACTTTTCATTCAAACATGGCTTTGATGGACTTATATTGTAACACCAGTAAAAGCTACTCACCAGTTCCAGACTGGATTCATGTATCTCATTGAGGTTCAGAGTATATAACCCCTCATTGGCACCAATTAGTATATGCTGATCTGGAGACAGATAAGGTATAATAGTTAGTGGGATAGAGTAACATTTCTTTACTGCAGTAGATAAACATACGTATGCATATTAAGGCTGATGAATCTATGTTACCTCTCGTGTCTGGATGTACCCAGCTAGCAGTACAGTTGATTTGTAATGGACAGCCATTGAACACTTTAGAGAAGCAAGCTCCCATCTATATAGGGAAAAGACAAATTCTTTAATTCTTATTTCCTTACCTAGTAGATAACTAGGAAACTGACCAGTCAGCAAGGGCCCCGCCATGGGGTAGAATTAAAAGGGTGCAGCTTACGGAATGATTAAAAAATGTACGAAGAATAAGCAACAGCAACTGTATTCTTAAAATTTCAAGATAATTAATTCCTGAATATTCAAAAACCTGAAAATAATATCCTTGTATTTACATTAGGCAGTAAAGAACAATTTAACATTGAATGTATTAAACAATTATGAAGCTTGTGTTATAGAATGCCAGCCTTCAATGAATGCAAATATCATGAAGGCTTGACCTTAACTTCAAACAAACAGCAGTTGCAGACAAAGGTTTTCATTAATCTTAAAGATAAAGAAAAGCCTACTAAATTTTCTGCAGCAGGCTAGATAATTGATCCCAAAGGATTAATTGTACCTCTCTCATCATTTTCTTCTAGAGTTACAGTAAGAACTTTTTCAGTATTAATGATAGAATGGGGTTTTTATAAAACTACCTTAAAAATTAATTAACATAAAGTGAAAAAAGTAATTCAAAAAATCTTCTTTAATCTATTTCTTGTTTTTAGAATTCAATGAAATAACTATTAAACAAAAATAAATTACACGTATAAAAATTTATATCTTAATCCACATTTCACAGTGTTCATAGCATTCCATATTGACTTAACTTCAAAACAAACTTCATTTGCAGACAGAGGTGGTAATTCATCTCAATGTGACAGATAAAGATAATGCTCTGGATTTTCTTCAGGAGGAAACCTAATTAACCCCAAGGGACTCATAGCCAGCATTCATTTTACAATGGGAACATCTTCAGCAGTAATCTCTCTTTGCTAATGCATTCTAAAGTTAAGGAATCTACCCCACCACCCCAGCTCCAAACCAGGGGACATAGAGAACCAAATTTAGCATCAAAATATGTATTTCTGCCTACTGAACTACCATACCAAATTTGAATTTGATTGGGCAACCATATAAAAAAGTTGCCCATTCATTCTTATGCATATTTAAGGAATCTACCCCACCACCCCAGCTCCAAACCAGAAGACATTGAGAACCAAACTTAGCATCAAAATATGTATTTCTGCCTACTGAACTACCATACCAAATTTGAACTCGATTGGGCAACCATAAAAAAAGTTATTAGAAAAAAACAGAAAATTTGTGGACGGAAGAGAGACAGACGGACAGACGGACAGACAGAGTGATTACTATAGGGCACCCGCAAATCCTTGCGGGGCCCTAATGATGCTTAAGCAATTAGAGTTTCCTGATTGGCAGGCTGTTTTGGTTTTAATTTATCTCTGTAGAAAACTTACATGAACTTTAGGGGTGGGTGGGAGTCCGTTACTAACTGGCCTGTCTGGTTTATTCTGAAACACAATTTTTTTTTTCAAAATCTAAATTACAGAATTAAAGAAATAACATACATGAATAAGCTTACTGAAAACTGAAATTATGATTTAGCTAATTTAACAGAAAAAAGTAATGAAATTAGTAAACAATGAAAATATTTAGATTTATACTTCACATTTCATGATATACTGAAGCAAATGACCAAATGAGCAGAATATACTATCAACACTATAATATTTATGTCAACAAAAAAAAACCAGAAGTCTCTGTCGAGACTGAAGCTCTACTGGTTTGTACTTATAACAAATGAAGACAAAAGTAGCAGTTGGGACTTAAAACTTTACAACAGCAATAAATAAAATAATGATGCTTGATTGAGCTCTTTTTGTGGCAAGATACTGCAATAAGACTACAGCTGTAGGAGTAGCTATTAATAAACTTTTAGAGTATTTAAGTTTTAGTAACCATGGCAACATCATTCCTAGAAATCAAAAATCAATAAAAAGAATTGTGTATCTTAGTGTAGTCTACTCGTGTGCCAAGTTAAATTGAAATCAGACCAAAACTGTAGGAGGAGTAGCATTTTGAAAGCATTTCAGAAAAATTTCTATTTTTAGAAACAAAGGCAACACCGTTCATCGAAATCAAAAATCAATACACAGAATTATGTATCTTAGTGTAGTCTACTTGTGTGCCAAGTTATAATGAAATCAGACCAAAACTGTAGAAGGAGTAGCATATTGAAAGTATTTCACAGAAATGTCTATTTTTAGTAACTACGGCAACACCGTTCATTGAAATCTAAAATGGATATATAGAATTATGTATCTTAGGTAGTCTACTTGTGTGCCAAGTTATATTGAAATCAGACCAAAACTGTAGGAGGAGTAGCATTTTGAAAGCATTTCAGAGAAATTTCTATTTTTAGAAACAAAGGCAACACCGTTCATCGAAATCAAAAATCGATACACAGAATTATGTATCTTAGTGTAGTCTACTTGTGTGCTAAGTTATATTGAAATCAGACCAAAACTGTAGGAGGAGTAGCATTTTGAAAGTATTACACAGAAATTTCTATTTTTAGTAACCACGGCAACACCGTTCATCGAAATCAAAAACCGATATACAGACTTATGTATCTTAGTGTAGTCTACTTGTGTGCCCAGTTATAATGAAATCAGACCAAAACTGTAGGAGGAGTAGCATTTTGAAAGTATTATACAGAAATTTCTATTTTTAGTAACCACGGCAACACCGTTCATCGAAATAAAAAATCGATACACAGAATTATGTATCTTAGTGTAGTCTACTTGTGTGCCAAGTTATATTGAAATCAGACCAAAACTGTAGGAGGAGTAGCATTTTGAAAAATTGTTTACAGACAGACAGACGGACAGACGGACGGACGCCGGACGCATTATTATCGCATAAGCTCTTCTGGTCTCTGACCAGTAGAGCTAAAAAGAAGACAAAATGCAACAAATACATAGAATTTCTATCTATGGTCGTTTGTCAATTCCTTGCAAATCATCATGACAAGGTTTTCATTTTTCAATTTATTTTTAAACTGACAAACTTAAAATACAGACTCACATTTTAAGCCCATGCTGAGGTTTTTTTTATTGAGTCAGAACCTACTGTTATCTAATTATGTCTTTACTGATTTTAATATCTTAAAACCTACCTAACTGAGACTTTTGAATAAAAACCATTTATAGAGGAGCTCATCAAAGATTCAGAACTTGAAATTTTAATTTAAGTGAGTCATAGTATTACACTGTAATTGTACACTTTTTTTAAGTCGGAATCCTAATGATACAGGATGTTGGATTTTAAATTCAGCAACTACAGTGGAAGAGAAAACAAGCACAGTTCTACTAGACATTTCTACCCTGCTGAGCGTCCTTGACTGAAGCACTTAAATTAAAGCAAAAACCACATCCAAAACAACTGGATAACCATCAGGAAAAATAGTATAACATTAAAACTCCCAAGACAAAAGTGATAAAATGTACATTGATAAAAATCATCGGCAATACTGAACAGATAATTTCAATTACATTGCCCCATGCAAGTATTAATAAACAGATATTCTAAATGCAAGGAGCAACTATATAAATGTTATTTTTAAACACTGTATGCTCTATAAGACAATCATTTCCTACCTAAAAAGCAATAACATTTAAAAAGAAAAAGGAAAATCCCATGTCAACTTACCAGATCATAACTTAGAAGATTCTAAAATTTTGTTACAAAAGAATAACTAACATCCATGCAAGACACGTCTTCAATCTACAATCAGTTTTCTCACTGACACTTCTTGTAGTACAATTCTTTTAACCTCTAACACAATAAACTGATCTCTAACATGCTTGAGGCACTACGTACCATACTGGTCCTGTCTTTTCTGCGAGGTACCATAGGTTCCTCTGTTACATTGCTGCCCCCTCCACTCCCGAGGTCCAGCACTCCATTCTGACGCCGGCTGAGTTTGGGGGGTAGTTCTGGTGGCTTGTCTTCTGATGTCTGGGGGGGTCGAGATCCGGGAACCAGGGTAAGTTCTCGATCTAAAATGGCATCTAAGTCCGGCCCATTGTCTTCAAATCGGGGGCTACCATTGTCCTCAGGTCTTGCGTCTTTCGGCAGCTCGGGTAATGGCTGAAAATATTTAAACATATCAATAATATCTAACTGGTTTGATACATTGATTTTTATCTATTGAAATAATTGTATCAATGAGAAATAACAAAAATCCATTTTTCTATTAAATGAAAAAAATTCACAGTCTGCCAATCTTGGCTGAAAAAAAACTCCTTTGAAATACACCTAAAAACTATCTCTAAAAGATGGGCCTCTTTAAAATGCTTTGTTTTTAAAATATCCTGCATTATCTACATAATTATAAAGATGTAAACAATAAACTTCTGTAGAACAAACCTTTGGCAATCTTGGAGGTGGCTTAATTTGTAGAGTTGATCTGCAAGTACACACAAAACTCAAATGACATAGAGATAAACAAAGTCTGTTAATGAGCTCTCCTTCACATCATAATAACCTCTAAATGTTGGATACATTTATGGAAATGTGTATATCCATCTTTGAAATAATACCTTTTAATTCAATGATTCTCTTGAAAACACTATAGCTATATATTTTCATCCTGCATGCTTTAAAGTCACTTAATTGATATAAGTGCATACATATAGTTAATACATGTATACATCAATATTGTAAGCATTTAACATTAACTATAAATTAAATTAACAAGTGCTGAAAGAAACACAGTGCATTAGTACCAAAACAAGGTTAAAAAAAATTCTCTGAAATGTGTAAGAAATACATGTCTATGAAAAATTCTGGTTTTCAAATAGCACCCCTCCCCCTTTAAATTTATAACACTGCAAAACAAACTAAGTATAATACAGCGGGGTGCTTACATGTATATAGAAATCAGCCAATAGACACCTAGTGTGATGTCTTGCTTTTAAAATATATATAACTATAGGTATGCAATGTATATATAATTTTAAAAAGCTAGGAAGAACTTAAATATTTCAGAGGAAACATACAGAAGTTCCCTATATGTTCATACTTCATTTACTATGAAGCAAGGATATAAAACCCCCCACAACTCAGGTAATTCTGTGATATTGACAAGAACTTCCTCATATTCTAAACTTTTCCATTTATCAAAGACAAGTCAGGAAATTGCCCATCATTTTATCAAGACCAATCACATGCTTTGTATATGCCTATCCAATAGTTAACTACAATACACATAATGTTCATTGATATGCATCTTCTTTATCTATCTTTAAAGGTACAAAATAGCCCAAGGACAACAAAGCTCACCTGCTGTATTTCAGTTTTTCTTCCAATCCAATGTAAAATTTTGATTAAATATAATTCTATATGCCAGCTTCAATGAGTCAGATGATGGCATTTTTATAAATTTGAATTTTTACTCTCTAAGGAAGCTTTCACTACAATTTTGATTTTCTTGGTCGGAGTTGGTCCAGTGGTTCTTGCTCTTCAATTTTCTCCCCTTTTTTTGAATAATATCCCTTTAAAAATGGCAAGACTCTGCTTCTGTTAAACACATATTTGAATTTTCTTCATTTAAAAGATCCTTTGTGGCAAGTTTTCCTGAAAATGGCTCAAAGGTTGTGGAAAAGAAAGTAACATTTTAAACGTTTACTGATAAGATAAACACACAGACAGATGGACAACATACACTCTCTGATCAGATAATCTCACTTAAGCCTTTGACTTGAATGAGGTAAAACATTCAATGATATATGGACCATGTAAATAAATAACATGCAAGAGATAATGGAAAATGTTAGATAAACTAACCAGTTTCTACAAATTGTAAAAGAAAATACAAATAGCTCTTAACACCTTTTTCCTAATCATTCAAGAACTGCATAAGGATTAGGTAACAAGAAGACTATGTGAGTAACATTCCTTCTAATTGGTTGGAAGAGATAGGGAGATTTGTAACAACAGTTTTCATTGGCTTACTGTTCTGACAATGGGATATCCTCCGCTAGGGCTGATGTTTGGCTCTCATGACCCCTGAATAATTTTTATCAAGTAAAATACAACTCTTACAATATAACATTTCGATCAAAAAATATAACACTGAACATTATATACATTAAAGTCTAAGTTAATGGTATAAAAAAAATGTTTGTTTTCAACTTTGTATTCAAACATTTTTATAAATAGCCATATATATACTAAATTACTTCAACAATAAATTATACATGTAAGCTATCATGGAAAATCTATATTCTGTACACAAACTCCATCAAGTTGGCCTATCCCATCATGCACCACTCAGGAAATTTCCTTCCCTTTTATATCAAAAAACATGCTAAAACTTTTGAGAGGCATAAAAATCTCTGTGTTTCAATCCTGAGGTCCTGGATAAAAAAAAATAACAGGGAGGGGGGGATTTGGCATTCCTCCTGTTGTGCAAATGTACTAAGAAACTGTGCATCTCTCTTAACCAAAACAAACTTGCTTTTAGTGAAAACAAAAGCCTGAAAACTTAGCTCAAGTTATGGCACAATGGATAATAAAACAATGACTTGCACTTAAAGAATTTGTATCATATACCCTTCATGATCTTTAGCTACATTGCATATTCATTTAAACAATGGACTACAATTTGTTAAAATATACAAAGAGTCATATATGAAATATAAATTCATTCCATATATATACTTGAGACTCAAAATCAACAGTTTTATTACTGCAAAGATTTGCATTATGTTTAATCAAACTAGGAGATAATGCATTAATATTGCTTCTTGTATGAACAATATATAAACGTAAAATGAGAAGAACATAGAATGAAATTGGGTAACATGTATAAAGCTTCAAAGCAGTGGTGCATAGGCTCTGTGTGTCCATATAATTATATACATATACTGTCTTCTGATTAGGAAATGGAGAAAAACCTTTCATATATTGATAAAGCTCTGATTATATGATTGATATAAGTAAAATGATGTCCCATTCCCAAATTACATACTACAGAACTTGCACTTAATCTATTTCCTTTACAGAAATGTTCTACACGAGAAAAATACCAGCAAATCCTGTTGTCTAAGATTCATGCCAATAATTTATGAGAAAAAAATTACATGGATAAATTCTGAATACTAAATCTATAAAGAATACCATACATACAACAATAAAATTATTGTTATGAAGACATTACACATTAATACTAAATGATCTCTGTTTAATCTTATATTTCTTCCACCATTTTTTCATGGGCTTTCCATGATGTTAATTTCTTTGTTGTAAACTCTAAATAAAACTAGTGACATTTTCCCCTCCCAGCTGCTTGCTGTATCTCTCGAGGTTAGAATAAATTGCATGAAATGATAAAACACAAGGATACAAACATATACAAACTAGATCAGGCAAGGTTTACCTCTGAATGAGTTCCTCATTCACTGAGTCCAACAGGCTCCTAAATAAATACAGAGCCAAGCTCATCAACAGTTGTCTCATATCTTACCATCATTATCACAGGACGGGCAAATTAATACATTGAATTTAAGTCAAGTTATTGATTCTCTTACATGTACATAGATATTACTGGTTAACACAAAGGGAGACAGACATATTGCAGTCGGATGTCATGCATGCATATCTGAATGCAGATTCACTGCCTTCTTCAATCTTTCATACTTCTGAGAAATAAAATCATACTATTTTTCTTAATATCTAAAAGTTTATAAAATTCTCCTGAGCATGAAATTCTGTCAAAATAAACTGGGGCTTTAAATATGCAGAATATATGTACATGTATATACAAAATACAGCCTAATTTTGATATAAAAAACACTGATATCTCAAATACCATGGATAAGTCAAAGTGAACCGCAAGTCCCAAGTACGGTACGTTCTTTAAATATTTTACCCTTGATATATTGAAGCCTCCAATATCTCGAAAATTTATTCTTGGTCTTATCGAGAGATAACAAAGTATGACTTTACATATATCATATAACTGGAAATCTTAGCGAGACGCATATTTAGCTATTTGACCTTAAAAGTAGTACATGTATCTTATTTTTAGGGAGATGTAGTTTTAGCGATTTTAACTGCTCACTAAAGAAACTATTACAAGTAAAAACACAATTAATTTTTAAAGATATTCAATTTAAGCAATCTAAGCATCCTTGCTAATAATGCCAACATTAATCCTTGATAAAAATTGTACTTATACAGTATTGCATTATTTTAAAAAATATATCTGCAATTTTCTTAATATCTTTTTGAAATATTTGGTAAAAAAAAGAAAAGGAAAGAAAACTTGAGAATTTGTATTTAAAAAAATAGAAATTTCTTGATTAAAACTGACAGGCACATTTATTTCAGTGAAATGAAAT